AGGGGCGGCCGGGGCGGCTCTCGGGGCCCCCGGGGCCGTGGCTGGGGCTAGACCCGGCGCCAGGGCCGCCCGGGCTGCTCAGCGGGGTGAAGGTTGTGGCGCAGAAGCGATGCGACAGGGAACAGCTTTTCTCTCTTGATTAATAAAGAATGAAAAGGACTGATCGGAGGTGGAAGTAGTAGTTTCTCTTACCTCGCAGTGAACAAATGGTGTGTGGGGGGAGAACCAGTGCGGTTGGCCAAGCCTGCTTTCTAACCTAGGACTACCTCCAAAGAGGCTCCAGGGACCAAGCGGGCTTTCACAAGCGATGATGCTGAACTGGCTCCGCTTCGCCTGCCTGGTGCACGGGCTCACCCTTTCCTCCCGTGTGAGAGGAGATGCTGCAGGAGGGGCTTTTACCCCTTTCCAAAGCGAAAGCTGCCCTGCCTGGGGGCAAGGCTGGTCTGCAGGGCCTGAGAGGGGAGCAGCCGCCGCCGCCGCAGGGATGCTGCGGGGAGAGCAGCGTTCCCGCGCCCTGCTCCCTCGGGACCCCCTCCGCGTCGGGCCGTTGAACGCTAAACCCCCCAACGCAGCCCCCGGCTCTGAGCTAGCTTAGTCACTAACCATCTCTGCTAAAGGCAGAGGAGAGCTTTGTCCGGTTGCCCACCACCATCAGTCTTTGCTGATAAAGATGCAAAATGCCCTTACCGCACTCCCCTCGACCCTACCTGAGACAAGCGCTGCCCTAGTTCTTCATTTCCAGGAGTGATTTAACCAGTCTGCTCACTACAGCCAGAGGAAGGGGCTTTCCAGTACCAGCGCTTTTATTGAAACCCACTTACCCAGTTACTAAAAAAAAGTGCCTTGAAGCAGTGAGCCCCAAAGGTTAACTGTGGCAGCAGTCGGCACCAACGGGTCGCGGGCCCTTGTTTCTGCCACAAAAAAACACCCGTGCTTTCCCTTTTTATTCCCATCCCTTGTTTCTGCCTGTGATAATTACCTCCCGCTATTTCTTTTTTCAGCCCCCTGGTTTGAAAGCACTTTCCGACAACAACAACAACAACAAAAAACAGCAAAACATCCCTTTGCTCCATTTTGACGACATGCCTTGGCAAACGAAACGCCCGACCTCAGTGGCGGCACGGCGGAGGCGCTGACGGCCGGGAGGGAGCCTCGGGCCTTCTGCCGCTGCCCGGCGCAAGGGTGAACGCCGCCTGCTGCGCATTTGCTTTCAGACGCCGACACGGCAGCTTTGCTGGCTCCCAAAGGAAGCAGGCGTGCCCTGACCCTTACTACCCGCAGGACGAGGAGGACACGCTGCACAAGGTCACTCGGTTGAGGCACAGCGGGCTCGAGACACGAGGAGAGCTGAGCCGG